GGGGAGCCTCTGTGGGTGCAGAGCAGGAGCCTGCTGTATGTGGGAGTGAGGAGGAGGGGGGGCAGGAGCCTGGGGCTGGCTGGAGGGTTGGGATGCTGGCGGGGAGACCTGTGCTGGGGGTGATGCAGCGCTGGACGCCGCTGGCAGCGACGCTGGTAACTGGGGCGGTACCAAAGCAGGAGGAGCCTGGGCAGAGCCACTCTGTGCCTGCAGCACCTGGGGCTGTGCCTGCAGCACTTGCTGCTGGGCAGATGAATCTGAGTCGCTCTCATTGTCCTGGGGGCTGGGGATGCTGGGGGAGGTGCTCCGGTTGTCCTGGTCGATGTCCTTGGGATCGCTGCTCCCTTCGTCGTTGACGCTGCGGCTGTCAGAGCTCTCACCTTCACCCTCACCCTCCGAGGGGGAGTTTGGCCTGCTGATCTCCTGCAGGGACAGGGGGAACAGTGACCACTGAGTGCAGGAAAGCTGCCCCGAGGACACCAGCACTGTGCCAGAGGATGGCACATATCCCACAACGCAGGGATCACCCTCTGAACATCACAGGGCTCAACCAGCACAGGCAGCACCAATATCCACAGGGAGGGTGTAAAGACAATGGAGCCTTTTAGCAGTGGAGGCTCCTTTTAGTAGTGCCCAGTGGCAATGGGAATAAGATGAATTATAGGATGTTCTGCTTGAACATGATGAAACATTTTTTCACTAGGAGGGTGACCAAGCAATGGAAAAGATTTGTCCCGTGAGGCTGTGAACTCTCCACTTTGGAGACATTCAAAAGCCATCTGGACATGTCTTGGGCAGTCAGCCCTAGGTGGCCCTGCTAGAGCACAGAGGGTGGATTAGATAACCTCTAGATCCCATCCCACCCTAACCATTCCGGGATTCTGTGATATGGAAAGCTCAAGCCCAAAATCCCCAAATCCTGAGCTCAGAGTGATCCTGCTCAGGTACACAGAGACATCCCTAAAGTATTTCAACTGAGCTTTGATACCATTAAATTAGAAGACCACCACTGGAGTTCTCTTAACTTGCCACAGAAGAAGAAAAAAACAATTTCAATTTAAACAAAAATTGGGGGACGAGGGTGGAAAATAATCCAAGTGTACTCCTATATGGTTGATACTGATATTAGAACAACCTCTGGACTTACCCCGTATCACTCCACTGTTTCCAACAGCAGGAACACATTACAACACTGCCTGCTTTCCAGCCACAGATTAAGTTACAATTTGCTGTGGCTTAAATTGATTTCATGTTTTTGGTTTGTTACCAGATTTGCACCCCCTCCCCCTCTTCAAACCATTCTGTGGGAGGAACTCACTTGAGTTTTGGATTTTTTGGCATTGGACCTGTCAGGTTCCTCTGTGTCAGACGCTGCCTTTTCCCGCTGCCTCTTGGAGTTCTTGAGAGGAGAAGACACCTCTTCTTTTATCTTCTGCCACAAAGGAAGCAGAACATAAGAGTTACCAATGATGCAAATGCAGAAAGAAATTGAGTGTATGTCAGGAATACCACACTGAATACAAGAAGAGCTCCTGTGGAACAGGAGAACTCAGCAAAAGTTGAGGTAGTCAGTATCTAACAACAATCCAACAGGCATCAAACTAGCAGGAAAAGTGAATAAAGCATTCCTCACATTTAAAACAGGCCCAGGTCCATAAGGAACAAGATCAACTGGCCCAGATCACTCTCCTAACAGAGACCAACACCAGTTCTGAACAGAGGATGGAGCAAGAATTTCTGTGGGAGTCAGGCACAGGATAAATCTCTTTCTACTACATTAAAGTCTTGCTTTACTCCTGATATTTTGAGAGGAATATTTTTAGATCCCCTCAAGTACAGGGCTACCAGTGAATAGCTATTATAAGATTACTACCTTCTTTCATGGCCTGGAACATCATATCACATAATTACCTAACCTAACTTCAAATTTTGCCAAGTTCTCAGTTTTATAATGTGAAAATTTGCTCCATACTCCAGTTTTGACTTCTTTACTTTTAACATTTATTTTTAACTTGTTACTTTTCAATGCACACTACTTAATCACAAGCCTTCCTGCTTCATGTGCCTTTGTTTCTTCAGCACTCTCTTGGAAAGGCATTTATTTAACCAGGCTAAACTGTCAGCTTGCTTTGAAAAAAACCAAGCAAATACACCTCCAGAAAAACAGGGACAGAAGTAGCCTCAATTACTGCATATTCATATTCCTTTGTAAACAAAGATTAAGTACTGCTTAAAAAAAAAAATCCCCAAAACTGTCTACTTGTCTCAAATACAACATTTCTGATCTGCATTACTTCTCTGAGCTTAATGCTTGCATTTGCATCCGAAATGGAAGGATTAATTTATCTTGAGAGCAGGAAGGTTATGCGGGGCTACTTGAGTGGTTTGATCACTACACATCCCCCTCGGTACAGGAACAAAGCAGCACTCAGCTGCACCAGCACACTTCTTGCTTATCCACACAAGTAGGAATTTCTAGGTCACAGAGAGATTCCAAGGCATCCTACGGCATCTCGGTCTGTAGCAAGAGTGGTTCTGCTGGTATCAAGTGCTTCTTTGGGGCTGTGAACCACCAACAGAGGTTCACAGGACTAGGGCAGTGCTCATCCCCCTGGACTGGGCACTGGGGAGGTCCCAGCTCAGTGCTGTGCTCAGCTTTGGGCACTCACTGCCCAAAGGCCATTGAGGCACTGGAGCGAGTCCAGCCAAGAGCAACGAGGGCAGCAAAGGGCTGGAGCACATGGGGAAGGGCTGAGGGAGTTGGGGTTGGTTAGCCTGGAAAAGAGGCTCAGGGGTGACCTCATGGCTCTCTCCAACTCCCTGACAGGGTTGGAGAGAGGTGGAGGATGTGTGTCCTGCCATGGCTGCAGGGAGAGGACTAGAGGGAATAGCCTTGAGCTGAGACAGGGGAGAGGCAGAGGAGAGATCAGGAATATTTTTTCACAGTTACTGTGGTCAGGCACTAGAATATTGCCCAGGGAGGTGATGGGAGTCACCATCCCTGGAAGTGTTTAAGAGGCACCTGAACCTGGCACTGGATCTGATTCAGGGTTTAGGGGTTACAGCAATGACAGGTTAACGGTTGGACTTGATGATCTTAGAGGTCTCCTCCAACCTTGATGACTCTATAATTCTCATCTATGTGTCTTGTGTATCTCACTGAGAGGCTTTAGGTGTTTAGTGCTCACAGGAAAGAGGACTGGGGCAATGTTACCTTGGTGGATTTCTTGACAGACTCAGCTTTGCTGTCATTGCTGGAGGTGCTGGCGGCGCTGGGCGAGTTGCGGCCGCTGGAGCGAATGTCCTCGTTGATGGGGGAGGCTCTACCATCAGGGCTGGCTGGCTGCTTCTTACGACCACTGCGTAGTGTAGACATCTAGGGTTGAGGGAAACAAAGGGTAGCCAAGTCAGCATTTGTCCAACCTCTCTCAATTTTACTGCCTTACAGCAGCAGGAGCATGGATGGAGCACTAAGAGAACAAAAAACCAGGAGCATTTCATGTGACACTTTCTCCTTGAAAGCTAAACTGGACTCAAAAGGAGACAAATCCTTAATCTGTCTACTCAGAAACATTAAGTGCTGGTTATATTTAGTAGTGTCTGTTAGAAATGACATTAGAAAGATGTTCCAATACACATGCACACACACTGCAAGTCTGTACACCCACACAGTGAATGAGGGAGGAAGGACCTCCCTGATCCATCAAAAACTGTCTGTTGGCTCTCAAGACCAGGTTTTAACTCCCCAGTTCAAAAAGGGACCACAGTAGAGTATATATCAATATTTAAGGCTGTTTCTTTCCCAATTTGGCAGTTCTCTGCATGACTGGCTACCATAAAAGCAACAGAGCCAACATAACCCAAGACATTTCACATATCACAAGGTATTTAGAATCAATGGTCGTATCACCGTGATCAGAAAGACAGAGGGAGGGCAAGGAGAAGAAATCTATCTGCTGCTTTCAATCAGCCAAACCCAAATCAAAGCTCAAATTAGCCAGAGCTGCTGTCAGAGCTCTCACACTGATGTGCTCACAGGAAGACTCTCAGCGTTTCACCCCAAGCAACAACCCAGGGACAGAGCACACCAACCACAGAGCAAAGCAGAGCTCTCTGTAGGGAAGAGATTTGAGCTCCAGTAATATGAGGAGACCACATGAACAGCATCTAATTTTTTTAAACTCTTCCCAAGGGCTTAGCAGTGACAGGATCCAGCTGGAAGGAGGATGTGTACTAGTACAAACTCTGTAACACACTGTCAAGTGCCCCTTTATCACGACAGTCCACTGCCAGTCCTTAAAAACATGGAAACAGGTTTGACTAGAGCTTGCAGAAGAGACATTTCAGCTCCTTTTTCCACAGAAACCTCAACCTCAGCAAATTTCACCCACACACACACACATACAGCAGCAGGTTAGATGTTTAAGTGCCTCTCCCACCTCCTGTGGACTGAAGCAGCTGCAAAGTGAGAGGGTGAAACCTACCGAGCCTCGACTCCGCCGTGTCCTCATGCTATGCTTCCCACTGAGGCCATCATCTTCCTCTTTGACAGGCTTAAACATAAAGGGTGGGGGGTCCACAGGCTTCTCGATGGGGGGCAGCTCTCCGTATTTCTTGAAGTGAATGCGACAATCCGTGCACAGCAAGATGTTCTCTCGCCCGCCGTGGTGCCAGTCCTTGGAGGCTTGGGGCAGGGAAAGCAACAGCTCAGAAACACACAGAGCACCAGACCCTCAGCACAAACACAAGGAATAGTTCAAAGAGCAAGAGTTGGAAATGTAGCTGCTTCTCTATGGGCAAGGAAGCTGGAGAAGTTCCTGGAATATTTTGCCCTATTCAATTTACAAACTAGTCGTTCACTTAAGCGACTACAATTTTGAGCTCAAGGCAGAAGCCTTATCTGCTCTACCTGGTGGCTTGCAGGCAGCTGTTGTTCTCCACTTCTGTGGTTTCTGCAAGAGCAGTGAGCTATGAACTCTCACTTCCTTCCCCATTTTGGGGCTCACACTTGGCATGCCCAAACGTCAGACAACCTTCAGGAACAGTCCCAGAAACTCCCCCCCAGGAGTAGATTTGGTGCAGCACAAAGAAGTTCTGTGTGTGTGACTGCCACAGCCCAACACTGATTCAGTAGATCACAAATTGATTACACAGATTATGGATTATGTAGATTTATTCCTGTATAAATGTCTACCTCAGGGTTCTCCTTTGTCACTGCAACGTTAATTTGCAATGGCAAAGCCTGATTAAGTCTGCAAGGAATGCTGCATATGTTAGCTGGTTCCACCCCACATTTTTCTGAACAGCTGTACCAGCACACAAACTGAGCAGGGAGCAGCAGAAGGGAGAAGAGAAGCCCAGCAGGGACCTGGGCACATACTGGTTGTGAAGCAGTGGCGACAGGCGTAGCCCTTCAGCTCCTGTTCACTGTCCTCACTGTCAAAGTCATCTTCACTGGCCGAGCTCAGGTCCACTGGGGAAGGAAAGAAAAGGAAAAAGGAACATCAACACTCAGCAGGATTTTCTATTTCCTCCTACTTGGCTGAAATAACCATTAATGAAAACAGTTTGTGACTTCCTACGACCACCTTGGCATTATTTCTGATTCTGCACACTAAGCACCTCACTGGCCTACAGGTTAAAGGAGGATTCCAGCAATGTGCCAAGGGATACAACTCACAGAACTTCTGCCTCAGTACACAGTACTTTCCCAGTTGAGCTGTCACTCCAATGTCATTTAAATTCTCTCTGAGAGGTTGTGTTCCAAAATCACCATATTCCAGAGAAAGGAGGTTTGTCTCCACAACCTGATCAAACTTAAAATCAAATATTCTATACTTAAAACCTACTTGACTAGACACTGTGGTGGCTCTTCTGTTTTTCACTTTGTTTCTACCCCAGCTGAGGACTGCTGTCATGCTCTGTTAGACTCTGGCTATATTTAACCCAGGAGATGTGTTTGTGGGTGGAACAATCAATGCTTCCATATAATGGACCTGTCTGAGAAACATGTGACCCTTTGGGATGAGAGGTACCACAAGGATACTACCAGATTTGCAATCCTCAGAGTTTAAACCCTTGGGAAAGTCACGTTTCAAAGAGGAGGGGATGGAAAGGTCCTTTTTCCTTTGTGGGAAGCAGTACAGAACAAATTTGCTGATTACACATCTGGGAGCTAAAAAGCATCATCTAAACCACTGAAAAATCTGCAGACACCACAAAAACTGTGTCTTATCTCATCTTGTAAAACAAGTCAAGAGTAAATCCTTTCTTTTAGAGCACTCCGCATTTTTCTAGCACCACCACTATAAATCCACCCTGTAACAGGTCTGTAATTTGTCAGCAGCAGAAAACCCTCTGGCTTCGTTAGTCCAAATCTTTAATTACCAGTCCCTCATGCAGTAAGTTTTCTAAAGGTTCCAGAGGATGTTTAGTAGGTGCAGGTTACAGCCTATGGATTATAGATTATGGATTCTACAGCACTTGCCATCAGCATTTGTCAGCAACTCGTTACCCTTCAAATTAACACAGGGTCCCATTTAATAGCAGGAGCTGCTACCACTGCCATAATTCCTACATTAATTCGTGCAGGTGTTTAAACCCTGACTGCAAAACTGACCTCAGGCTAGGACTTGAATTCTTTCACTAAATTGATTTTTATTCTCATCCTGCAGCCGGATCCATATGGATAGAACCTTCCAGCCACAAGTGCTCCGACGTGATGAGTATCTTGGATGGAGCTGCAGAGCACAGATCCTCACTTCTCATGCACACAGAAATCAGCAATAAATCCTATCAATTCAGCCAGGAAAAGCTAATTACTTTTCTTACTGCCTCCCTGTTACCCTCTCCAGAATTCTGTCCAGCTTGCTCACCACATCCTCTCTCTCCCCCACATCATTAAATCTGCCAATTTTTGCCTTCCACACAGTCCCTTTTCCTTACAAGGCAAGGGAAATGTGCTGGGTTTAGTCCCCAGAGAGACTTAAACCTCACAGGGTAACATAAGCCTTTTACACGTGGATAAAAGTTTGTGTCTCCATATGGACCCTGTGGATCACAACCCTTTGCAACACAGACCATGTCACTGGTTTGGGGAATTAGTCTGTTTAGACACTTTTGCTCCAGGCAAGGCCAGTGTTCTTCCAAGACACCCTAAGATACACTACTGGCTGTAGCACAAAGTCTGAGGGTCAGCAGAAGCCACTGGTCACCCAGTAAGGATGGAAGGAACTTCCAGAGGGATGGAGAACTTCCTTTTTTGCATGTTTTCTAATTCCCATCATTGTAATAAGCCTGGCGAAAATACACCAAAAAAAGAGTAGGGAAATTCAACACCAGGGCAGTATTTCCATCCTTCCAGGATGCTTTTATGTTTCAGAACTGCACAAAGCACTTGGTGATCAAAGACACCTTCCACATTCCAACATAATCGTGCAGGAACGGGGAGAGGGCAACTGCCTGAACTCCATTTCCTTGCTTCATTCCCCTGAAGCACCAGTACATTACTGTTGCTCCCTGCATTTAAACCAAGAGAAATGCATTGCTCTTAGCTTCCACTTACAGAATTCACTGGAGGGGGGTCTGGAGGGAGTGTTGACTGGAGTGGAAGCAGTTCTGGTTTTAATTCTCCGGAACACAGCCTGTCTGCGGTGCCTACGGTGGGCTCGAGAGCTTGCTGCTTCAGGGGTTTTCTTCCAATAGTAATAGAAGGTGATTAGTTCTCCCTGCAAATACAGAAGGAGTATGTTAGAGGGGCATGCAGATCTGCCTTGTCAGCTTTCTTCCTCCCTTGTGCTCTCTGTTTGTTTTGCTGGGAAGAATCACCATGTGTTTCAGCCACACAAAAGAATTAGTTAGGTAAGGCAGGGGGAAAAAAAAAAAGAGAAAATCCTCATTGGTTTGGGTTTGCTTTTGCAGAGGAGGAAAAGAAGTCAATAAATGCTTTTTCAATGCTCCTCCAGAAAGGGAAGAGGTTGGGAAGCACAAATGCTGGCTCCACCTGGATGCTGCTGGTGCCAGGGATTCGGAAGAGGGTGCCCTTGCCTCGCTGTCAGCATCCTGTGACACCTCTGCTCGGCACAGGTACAACCTCTGAGCTGTCAGAACCTGTAACTCTCCTGGATTGACTTGAACCAACCCTGCCATTTTCAGCCCTACATTCCCCACACAGCTCTTTTTCCACACTCCTGTTTTCAGCAGCTGAAAGTCAGAGCAGAAACGTGTTCGACAACAAGTCTACAACTGTAACACGAAGTGACTACAGCAAACCGTGGTTTAATTTGAATATATATACCCACATCTAAATTAATTAAGCAGTTAAAAGAGCACACCTAGAGAAATGAGGGATAATTTCACAGCATAATGAATCTGGCTTGCATTCAAACAGGGGAGCAGCTGCCACTCACCCCGACGGATGCAATGCTGAA